TTTGAAATTGTTTGTTCACCTAAAAATTTTACGTTTATTAAATTTTTAGATTTTGAGAAAATGATTTCGGGTAATTCCATGGGAATTAAGCAACTATTTATAATCAATGTATCTAGTTTACTAAATGAACTACTACTACTACTACTACTATTGTTATTATTATTACTATAATCATAGTAGTCGTTATCGCTAGTAATATTTCCAAAATTTATACACCTCTCCAATTTCAAATATTTTAATCCCTTCAACGAAATAAATAATTTAAATGGAAATTCACTTTGAAAATCGACATTTTCCAATGTAAGAATTGCCAACGATTCAAATTGGGTGTTGATCAATGATTGAAAAATATTTTTGAATCCAAGTGGCTTTGATCTACTACATTTTATCAACAAATTTTCCAATGATTTTTGCGACTCTATCAATTTGCTTAAATCCTGAAATGTTGTGGCAAAGTAATTTGAGTTGGCGAGGATGAATTGAATTTCTTTGAGATTGCAAAGAATTTAGAAAAGGTCGCTATTAATGATATAAAAAAAATACGCACAAATGGACGTTCGTTAAATCATATTTGGGTTGAGAAACCAATAATATCTTCATTGGCAACAAATACAACAAATACAAAAAATACTAATGGTGATAATTTGTTCAGCGAATATCTGCCAGAAATTGGTAAATCTTTACCAACCACAATAAAAACATTTAAAGTTAGAAATGTTTTATCATTTTCACCTGATTGTTTAAAACAATTTCTAGCCAATTGTAAAGGTGAATTGAAATACTTGGGATTTGCTAGTTGTAAAGACTTTTCTAGTGCACATTTGCAGGCTATTATTGATTATATTGAAAATAAAAAGAGAGACGGTAATTGTGGTGTTGGTGATGAAATATTGAAAAGATTAAATGTGAGAGGTTGTTATTTAATCAATTTCGAAGATTTATCATATGTTAAAAATTTCATAAAAATTGTTAATGGTAAACCTCGATAGAATAAAATAACATTTTGTAAATATTTTAATTTTAATAATTATTTTAATTTAATAAAAAGAATTTTAATTATATCTAAATCAATATACATTAATATTAATTGATAAAATTAATCAGACTTCACTGCAGTAAAGTTGCCGTCAAGTTAAAAAAAAATTCTTTGACAGAACCATATCATAAACAACGTCAATAACGTATAATTTTTGTTTTTATAAAAAATTTGATAGCATTTTTAACAATTAGGGGCTGCGACAAAACCAAACTCATCACCCATTCTCAGGTAAAAACAGTCAAGCTACAAATCCTCAACCATTATTGAACACAATAAATAACATCTTTATATCAAAAAAAAAAAAATGCTTACCTTTGCCAGCGATTTTTTCTGTTGAATTTATCATTTATTTTTAAATAAAACGAGTAACAAATTCACTAGCAATCAAAATACACTGAAGAAATTGAAAAGTTGTTACACTTTTGATCACCAAAAGATTCAGAAACATTAATGTTAATGTTATTAGCGGCTAAAGATGGCTCCTCAATTAATTGCGGTTTCCATCTTTAGTAGCGGCACTGTTGACTTTTTAACCATTTTTTATAATATTTTGTATTTATTATAATGTTCAAAATACAGTTAAGGCTCGTTACAGTGGATTCTTGGTTTCATATCTAGTTTTTATTTTTTTTCCACTCTAACGAGAGACAGTTAATTATAAAGTGTTATATATATATAAAAAAAAAATAAAAAAAAAAAACAAAAAAAGCCCACTATAATAAGATTTTTTACTGTAACAAGCTTGATAAACGATTTTTTGAAATTTAATTTCTATGTGATAATTTAACCTTTAATTCACCGCATTGATTACCATTAATAATAGAATTTCTATATATAAGTTTATCATTTACCAATTCAAATTCATATTTTTTATAGAATAAAGCAACCAGTAATTTGAGTTGATTCATTGCTAAATGCCTTCCTGGACATATACGTAATCCACCACCAAAAGGTAAAAATGTATTTTTGATAAAGGAATCTTCACTATTGTTGTCATGATTTTTGTTTTTTAAGAATCTCGAAGGATTGAATTTAGTTGGTTCATTCCAATAATTTGGATTCATGTGTAAACTTTTGACATTTATAACCGTTAGTGTTGAACCTGGAATTTTATAGTCACCTATTTGATCAAAATTTGTTGCTTCACGGCCAATTGATGTTCCGATAGGTCTAATACGTAAAACTAACAATATAAATATATTAATTATGTGTGAACCATAATAATAATAATCGTGATTTATAAATTAACAAAATAATATCAACCTTCTTTTATTACAGCTTCAATGTATTCCATTTTTTTTAAATCTTCATAATCTAAATTAGATTTATCTCCAACTACCTGTTCAATTTCTTTAAGAATATTTTGTTCAACCTCGGGATGACTGGAATGACTGGAAGGAATAACAACATTCAGATTGTACATGTGGGCGAAACCCGTGACAATTAATTATCACGTGGTGTCAGCCAATCAATTGCAATTTTGTTCATAATTGTATCATATATTAATCATGTGATAATTAAGTGTCACGGTTTTCGCCTACATGTATAATATTGATATGGTAATTTCTGAGTTCACATAATTTCACAGGCACAAACGGTATTTGCATTATCTTTTTTTCTTTTTTATGATCTCCGTATTATTTACTGCGTTGATAGTGTGAGAATATATAGTTACTGATAAGAGTTTGTTGTACGAAATTCATAAATTACAAATTACAAATTTTATTTTTATTTTACAGGACGGTACAAGCAAGTCACGACTTTCACCAATTTCCGAGAAAAAAAATTTCCTCAAAAATGCAATAAAAATTGTTTGGTCATATATTTCCTATATAAGTCGTTTCATAAATAGTAAAATCATACCATTTGTTATCTAGCACTAGTTAACATTAACAATAGAAATGAAATGTATTTCCATGAAATATATTTTTAAATGCTTGGGTGAAAAGTATATATATATAAAAAGAGTTCATCTGGGCAATTCGCGTGATAAAAGATCTGTAACAATTCAAATTTTTATTTGTTTTAATTTCGTTTCATATATTAACTTTTCTGCATGTAACGCGCTAATTTTAGGGTGAGCATAGTAAATTCGGTAATTTGTGCAACTTTGAGACTCAAAATGAAAATTACGATTTATTTTTTGGTGTTACATTTCCATTTTGAATGACTTCATAGAAGCTCCACAAACTTCTGTTGCTTCTGTTACTCCATTACAAGATTATTTTTCATTTTAAATCTTGTCATATATATTTATCAAACAAATTAAAAAAAAAATCATTAGAGAACAAAACTAATTTCTTATTATATAATTAACAAGTAAAAGATTACAAGAGAAATGGATAAATTTGATTTTTTTGCTGCTATTCCTTCTATTCCTTCTAATATTTCAATTCCCACAATCCCATCAATACCGGGAATACAATCAATACCAGGTCTAAATACTTTAACTAGGAAATCTATATCAGCAACAAAAAATGACGATTTATCAATATTATTGGCGCAAAAACAAAAATCTATATTACCACCTGATATACTGATTCGCATATTGAAACATTTACCAATAACTTCTCTCCCGAATTTTGCACTTGTTTCACGTCGATTCAAAGTGTTGGTTTATGATGATGAATTATGGGAACAACATTTGAAAACCTTGGGTGCTTGGAATAATTATAATAAAATTGTTGTTGATGGTATAATGAGTGAATCTTTATATTTTAATCTTGCAAATAGTAGTAATGGTAATGGTAATAGCAATGGTAATAATGATAATACTCCAAGTAATAATAGTAGTAATAATAGTAGCAGTAATAATAATAGTAATAATGACATTGTTGGTAATGGTAGTAATATTGGAAACAAATGTAATGAAGCATTGTTGATTGATTTTGATTCGCCAATTCCACAAGAACAACCTTCATCCATAACATCAAATACTACGACCAACTCCTCAGGAAATTTAATAGATTTTGCAAGATCCAAGAACAACAATAATCACAGTAACAATCACAAAAACAACAACAGCAATAATAATTTCAACATCAATAAAACGTCAATTCCTGGACTTTCCTCTGATTCTTTTTCACAAAAATCTCGTGCTTCATCAACTGGTATTGCGAGAGAAGAATTTAAGAAAATATATTTAGAATTAATTCCATACTATATCGACTTTAGACATAAAAGAAAAGATAGTAGATTGTTTAAAGAGTATTTTGATCAAAGAAATCAAGCTAAAATGTTGGCTAAGATAAATAATTTTGGTAAAATAAATATCACTTCAGATTCTGATAAGGTACGAAATTTACTTATTATGATTGTGGTTTTGGTAATTATAATAATTATACTGTTATTAATAAATATCGGTATAATTATTTTTATAAAAAGATTAATAGTGCATTGGAAACTGTAATCGAATATTTTGAAAATTCAGCTTTACATCATTTTGAGTTAGCATATGATTCTCACAATATATCAGAAATGCAGGTAAACAAACTCAATATTTAATGAAATAAAAAGTGTGTATAAATGATAACAATAATTACTAAAAGTATTTTTATTTGCCATGATTATTAAGAAATGGGCTCATATTTTATTGGATTTGAATGGAGGAAATTCTTGTATTCAAGTATTTATACAAAAGAATTCAATATTTTTTGATCACCTATATAATCCAGAAGAAAATTTCATGTATGTGAAGCGCAATAAAATTTTTTTGATTTTTTTTTTTTTTAAGTATTGTTATTTTCTTGAACTTGTATTTATCAATCTTTTTATTATAATCTAGAAACATATCCTCGTCATCGCCACCAAAATCACCAACAACATTATCAACAACGTCAGATTTATCATATCAACCATTGAAAGAATTTTTCATTTATATAGAAGAAGAATTAAAACGACAAGCAACTTTAATTGGACAAGTTTTTCCACATGATGCTGATGTCTTCTTCACTTTTACGGAACGTGTTGTTGAAGATGTTGTAAGTTTGCTATATACATGAAAAAATCAAGTTATCATTATTATTTATTAAAAACATTTATATTATTATTAATATCATTCATAAAACTAATATCATAGATCTCAGAATATATATCAACATTTTTAAAATTATCGCACGATCATGACATTTTATTATATTTGAAAAGTGTAGTGACAGCATACAATCGTTGTTTACATGTTTGCAAGTTAATTTGGCGAGATATAAAACCTGGATTAAGTAAAATAAGAGCAGAGGATTTGATATTTCAAATGTTTGAATCATTTATGGGCTCGTATTTGGAACAAGAATTAAATTATGTTGAGAAACAGAGTGACGACGAAATTGAAAAATGGAATCAAAAGGTAGGTAGGATATCCGATAGAAAGAGGGGGGAGAGAGAGATTAGATTAAATTAAATTTAAATTAAATTTATTTGTTTGTTTATTTATTTCCTCAACAAATAATAATCATAATGAAAAAGTAGTTGAATCAATCCGTTGATGCACAACAGCAAACACTTGTTGATAATTCAAATAGAGAAGTCTACAAACGTAATTTCTTATCATCATTTCGGAAAATTTTAAAAGTGCCAACAAATCGTTTACGGATTTCCATTAATTTTACCACCAACAATAATAATGGTAATAATGACAATATCAATAATAATGTATCAAGTACTACTACAACGAATTCCAACGCAGATAATTTCACACCATCATCATCGTCGTCGTCGTCGTCGTCTAATATAACAATCAATCAATTACCACAATTGTTGAGTTTGGAAACTGCATTAAATTTAATTCATATCAATAAAGATTCTTTAAGAAGAGTTGGTGGATTTATTGAATATCCTGATAAAATGGGTTATAAAATGTAATAATAATAATAGTAATAGTAATATTATTATTATTAAATATTATTATCATTTTTATTAATTAAACATTATTATTATAATTTAGAAATGACACTATAGAAATGGTATTTAATACTCTATTAAAAAAATTAGGTCCATTACATATGAAAACAGGTTTTGAAACGTAAGGATTTGTGCGTTAATGATAGTAATTATATTTATTATAAGAGTTATAATAGTTTTTTTAATATTTCAAAATATATAACTAACCGGTCCAAGCACAAAATGATCTTACAGGCTTTTTTGGTCTTCTTAAATCCCATAAATGAATGAAAGTGTCAACAGAACAAGTTGCTAATCCATCTGGGTTAAATGGATTCCAGTTAATATCACTGATTGCACGGTTATGGCCATGTAAAATATATTCAACTGCACTTGAAGAGGGACGCGCAAGGTTCCATATAAGTCCTTTTTGATTTGACTATAAATAAATAATAAATAAATAAATAAATATGAATAAATCGAATAAAAATGAAATATTTTTTAAAAAAATCATACCGTAGATGCAACCCAAGTATCACGTGCCAAATGTGGGTTCCATTGTACATCAGCTACCTCCCATCTTGTTAGATGGTGAAGTTCACGAGGAGGTTCATATGGATTTTCCAGATCTATAATAAAAAGACCTTTTCGTCTATATACGTATATGGATTAAGAGAAACATCTTTTAAATAAATAATTATATCTATTTAATTCTTAATATATAAACATGACAATAATGACAATAACATTGACCTCTAATTTTTAAAAGAATACATACGCTGCTAACACAATATCACGATTTGATGGTGAAATAGACATGCTACCAACAGGTTGTTCAACATGAATAGATAATTCTTGATAAAATGAAGAATCTGTTTTTTTTGTGTCATTTAAAGAGAAATTTTCTTCAGGGCTAATTAAATCAGTGTTGGAATCGATTGATGTTGGATTAATGATATGTGTATTTGATGAATAACGATGTGGTGAGGATGATCTTGACGATGGGATTGTGATTGGTCTTGATTTTAATGGAAAAGAAGATTTTGGCGAATCAAGTGAAGTTAAGTTAGCATCACAATCAACTGAATTTTTATCGTGATCATCATGATTATCCATTGCTTTGACATAGAATTTGTAAATTTTGAAATTATATTACGTCGTTAAAAAATTAAAATAATAAAAAAAGCAATTTT